GACGGGGTCACGACCGACGAGAAGGCATTCGACTCGTCGCAGCGGGCGAGGTGCAGGGAGCCTTCCATCACGCGTATCTGTGAGAGAGCGCCTCCACCTCCTAGGCCATGGTCTTCACGAGCACGGACATCACACCAAATGTAGTTCGCAGGGACCGCCATGATCAACTTTCTGAGCTTCTCGGGATCTTTCTTGGGGACCGCGCTGACGCCGTTGATGGCCTTGATGTCGGCGCGGCGCATGTAAGTCCATATACGTGGTGGGAGGTCCTGGCGGCATAAGTACTTGGCCCACTCCTCCTGCGAGCCTCCTAAGAAGCCGTAGTGCTGCTCCAGCTCCCGCAGCAGCTGCTCGCTCTTGCCGCTCCAGCCCACCACGTTGCTCTCCTCAGCGTAGAACTGGGACTCCGCAATCGGCAGGGCCTCCAGCATGTCCACGGTCCGCTCGGTGGTCACCTCGTCGATGCGGTCCGCGATGAACGTAGCATGCACCTGTCGCTTGCTGGTCCCCGAGTAGGTGACCTCGCTGAGCTTGAGCAGCTCGCTGATAGCTCGCACGCCTGTCACCATTCCTGGCGGGCGAGCGCTGTCAAACTCCTGGGCCAACCTGATCGCCCTGAGTTGAGCTTGTCCTGCCGCTCCGTCGCTTGCTCTGAGATCTCGACGCTCGACGTTGCGGTTCGCCTGCTGCTTCAAGCCTCCAGCGTGAACTCGGTTCCAGGTCTCCAGCACCTGGTTGGCCAGCTTGTGTATCTCTCGCCGCTTCGCCTCCCTCTGTCGCAGCCTGCCCGACGACGACGCTGGTCGTGTACTTGGCCAGGGCAGCAGGGGCAACGGGAGGAGGCCACGTCGCTCCTGAAGTAGAAGGTGAATGTCGGCAAGGTCGGGAAAGGGGCTGGTTCTCGATATCGTAGGGCGAGAGGGCGGCGGCCGTGAGCACGTCCGAGGCCCGCTCTGGTGTACAGCTCCGCCCCGATGTACTGTCACCCAAACGCCTCAGTCTCCTCGTCCACCACGCAGCCGTAAAGTGATTCGCCTCGGAGGTGTCCCCGACTGCCAAGGCACCTCCGTCCTCGGCGGGGGTCAGTGGCCCGCCTTGCCCTTAGGGGGAGCCCCCCCCTTGGGCGTGCCCTTCGGGCCCTTCGGGTCGCCCTTGTTGGCGTTCTGGCGCCGCCTGACCTCCGAGCTGATGCGCTCCTCGCGCTGGTGCTCCATCTTCGAGTGTGTCGTCGCCTCGGAGATCAGCCAGTTCGGCGCGATGTCCACCGCTGAGCCAGGCGCCACCACCGCGCGAAGCCGCGCCGCGCCCACGCTGTCACGCGTGCGGCTCTCGTACACGTGGGCCGAGAGATGGCGCAGGGCGACCTCCACCTGATCATCCGAGTTCAGCTTCGCGTAGAGGCTCACGTCGTCCTTGCAGTCGCCCAGCGCGAAGTCCACCGCGGTGGCCGTCGCCCAAAGAGACTGCCACTCCTCGCCCCGCTTGGAGCCCACGTGTTGCTGGGTCAGCCAGTTCCTCACCGACGTAGACCCTGACGCCCTGATGTTCCGGTCGATCTCGCCACCTGCTCGCCTGAAGTCGGGCGGCAGGCTGTGGGCCCAGCCCTCGACGGAGGTCGAGGCCGCGAGCCCGCTACCCACGAAGCCGCCCGAGAACTGCACGGGCGCCGTCTCGAAGCCCTTCAGCACCGCCTTCACGCTGTCCACGTCCGGCGCCCCGATCGACGCCTCTCCTGAGTAGCCACGCGCCACCAGCGCCGCCTTCACGCCCGCGTCCAGCAAGCCCGCCTGCTCGCGCTGGTAGACCCTCTGCCAGAAGCGCGCGCCCCACCACGGGTCGCTCGAGCTCGTGGCCGCGTAGCTCTCGAGCTCTGTCCTGATGGCTGCGGCGCAGGCGCTGGCTCCCGATGGGGGCGTGCTCGCGGCCGCCGCCGCGCCCGCAGGCTGAACTCCTGCGTCGGCGCCGCCGCCTGTGCCTGCTGCGGGTCCGCCTGGCCCAGCCGCGCCGCTCGTAGTGGCCTGGCCTGCACCGGCGGGGGCCCCGCCCTGGCTGCAAGAGATCGGTCCTCCGAGACCTCCTCCAGCGCCGAAGGCGTGGAAGGCGGCGAGCCCGCCGTCTGGCGCCCCTGCGGGCGGCGCCTCCCACATCCCTGGCGCCGCAGCGGGCGGTGGCCCGATGGCGAAAGGCGGCGGGGGCGGCAAGCCGAGAGCCCCGCCCACGCCCGCGCCAGCTGCGGGGCCGCTCGGTTCGCCACCTTCTGACGGGGCGGCAGGCGGCTCGAGCTTGGCGAGCTGTAGTGCAGCCAGCTGGCTCCGCAGGCGCTCCAGCTCGTCGCTGTCGTCCTGGCGGCGGCAGCACCACCACAGAAGGCCCGCGCGCCACAGGGTGAGGCCGCTCCCAGCACAGCCTGCGAGGACGGCCAGCCCTAGACGTTGAACGGCAGCGCGGCCTGAGTCCGCCTTCAGGGCGCCGTCGGCAAGGAAGCAGACCGCCAGCAGCGTCGCTCCTGCCCAGCCGAGCGCCCACCACCTGCTTGGGCCTCCTGGCGGCGATACAGGCCCCTCGGGCTCCGAGGGCGCTGGAGAAAGAACCATGTTCGTGCTACGCTGGGGGGCCCAAGCCCCAAAGACTTCGTTAGAAGGAAAACATGATGCCTGGGTTTTGAGCCCAGAAAAAACTACGGAGGGGGAGATCGCACTCACTTCACATTAAGTAACATGCAGCATCATCATCACCATCATCATCATCATCATCGGGACACCGACGGGACACCGATTGGACACGGGCGGGACGCCAGCGGGACACCGCGGGCCCCCAGACGCCCCGACGGCAATCATTTGGTCTGGCCGCGCCTCAGCCACACGGGACCCGAGCGGGACGCCGGGCGGGACACCGCGGGCCCCCAGACGCCCGGACGGCAACCATTTGGTCCGGCTGCGCCTCAGCCACAGGAGACTTTCTCTCGCCCGCCCACGCAGCTTTGCCTCGCCCGCACGCACTGCACGCATGAACACGAAACCGAAATCGATTTCCCGGTAGGGGGGCTCTCCGTTCCACTTCGATCTCATCCCCCAACCTCCGATTCCAGGTGTTTTTTCAGTGGGCACGTTTTCTGTGTTTCCAGTGGGTGTTCTTGGTGCGGCGTTTGCCTGATTCCAGGATCGACGCTCTGATCCGGTTCAGAATGGCCTTGTTGTCCCAGCGCGGCCCACATTTCTGGACCCGAGTGCTTCGTCGTCGTTGTTGCCCCTTGCCCCCCCCGCCTGCCCTTGGTTCTCCTGCTCCTCCTGGTCCTGCTGCTGCAGTTCATCCTCATCCTCCTCCCTCCTCCTGCTCATCCTGCTGCGCATCCTCCTGCTCCTCCTTCTGCTCATTTGCCACATCATTCTCCAACGTACATTGCTTCCATTCTCAGATCGTGCGAAACACGATGGGGTCCTTTCGGGGGTTCTAGGTCCGACACGTCTCCCGTTGGCAGATAGAGTCAGCGCAATGGGAAGGGATGGGTGGGAGGGGAAGGGTGTCAGAGGTGGCGCGAGCGTATTCAGCTTGCCTCCCTCCCCTCCCCCTGTCTCGTCCTTCCCTCCGCTCCATCCCCTCTCTCCCTGTGCCCCTTCCCGCCCGCCCGTTCCCCTCCCGCCCCCTTCTCTTCCCCTCCCCCGCCTGCTCGTCTCCTTCCTGTCTCTCCCTGGGCTCCTCGGGCTCCTCGGGCTCCTCGTTCCCTGCCACTTCCCGCCCCTCCCTTCTGCTCCCTCCCCTTCCTCCTCCCCGCATGCTCCCCTTCGCTTGCTCCCTCCTCCCCCCTCCCTCCCACCCCTTTGCTCCCCCCAGCTCCCTCCCTTTCCCCTACTCCCTCCCCTCTCCACTCCCTTCCCTCTCCCTCCCTTCCCTCTGCTCCCTCCTCCCCCGCCCTCTTCCCCCCCCCTGCTCCCTCTCTTCCCCCCTTTATCCCCCCCGCGTAATGATCTTCTCTCCTCCTCTCTCCCCTCCGCCCGCGCTGTGCACCTTTGCTGGTTCATCATCGCTCGTGCTTTTTTTCCCAGCCTGTTCGTGCCGGTGTTGGGTGCTGCACGGGTTGATTGATGGATGCATGGATGAGCGGCATGGGATGGATGCATGTGTGGGCGGATTGGAAGCTGGGTTCTGGGTGGATGGTTTGAAGGCTGCATGCATGGATGGTTGGATTCGCGGATGGACGGACGGATTGGTGGATGTGTGGATGGGTGGGTGGATAGACGAACGGATGGATGGTTGGGTTGATCGATTGACGGATGGAGTAATATGAAGGGTTTCGCCCTTTGCGGCGGCCCCCCCTCAGATTGCTTGCATGGCCTCAGTATCGTTTATCCGACCCCCATCCCCATCCCCATCCCCTTCGAGACCCCCACCAAATTAGCTCTCCCAGTTGGGGATACACCCCTTGAAACCCGAAGGGAACGACCTATATCCCCTTCTAGGGGGTACATCTGCCAGTGGGGCCCAGGCCACGCCGCTGGGGATGGGATCGGTTAAACGATACTCATGGCCACCCTTGGTTGAGATTTACATGGATGAACGGACGGATGTTTGGATTGATCGATTGACGGGGAATGAATTTATCCAGCTGCCCACGGCAAGTCCCGCCACCGTGCTGGGGTTGTGGGTTGAAGGCCTCTTGGATGTTCGTTGGGATCTCGCGGGAGGTCTCTCGGGGGCCTGCGTGACCGCAGGGGGGGTTCCCTGAGAAGATTTCAGAGACCCTTCCAGGCAGCCTTTGGCATTCTTCCACGCATCAATGTGCCGCAGGCACGGTGGCGGATCTGTGTATGGATGGCTGGCTGGATGGAATGGATGGATAGTGGGTTGGTGAATGGATGGACGGAGCGATGGGCAGATCAGCAGACGGACCGACGAGCAGACGATGTATGAACGGACGGGCGGAAGGACGGGCAGATGAAAGGATAGATGTACACGTACGTGGTTGCGAAGTAATCGATCCCCATCTCCCATCCGCCGCGCAGCGACGCCGACAACTTCTACAGCATGTGGAACCGGTCGCAGTTGGTGGCTGGCCCGACGTCAAATATCACGCAAGCAAGCAGTCAGACTCCTTTGAACATTCATGACCTTTGAATTGTAGTGGTTAGATCTGGCCCGAACCAGTTCCTCTGTACAGAAAGGTCGACTTGTCTGGCTTGATGGAGCGGACACGGTCGATCGACCGTATTCGGTTCGTCTAGTTCGGTTTATTTTGTTCAGAATTGTGGCCTGCGTTTGCCGATTCCCTGCATCACTGGAGGGTGAATAATGGATGAGGCTGGAGGGGAAGATGGAGGGAGGAGTGTGAGGTAAGTAAGGCGAACTGAGGGAGGGGATGGAGGGCGCTGCCTGATGGAGCACCGTCAAGTGAAAAGGCCAGCCTCTCCTCCCTGGGGTGAGCACCCAAGGGTCCGATACGCTCTGAATTGCAAGGACCGGGCGCGATGAGCGCTGATGGCCAAAGCAGCCGCAGAGGCAATACCAGCCACAACATCGATCCGATCATCTTCTGCTGCAGGAGCGAGGGGGGAGGAGGCCGCACGGAGGGGCGGAGAACAGGACGGAGGGCGGAGGATGGAAGCACTGAGCAGAGCATGACGGGTCTCTGCTCGCGCGCTTCGCTCCCCATCCTCATGCCTGGCACAGTCCTAAAGGAGCCCATCTGCTCGTTCGGGGCTGAGGCCGTTGCCGTGAACGAAGGTGTCCAGGCGCTGACGCTTCTCATCTCGCGTGGCCGGCGGGCGGTCTGGATCCTGACCTGGGCCCAGACAGACGAAATGATGGAGGGAGGGAGGGAGGCGTTGGGACCCGGGGGCGGCGCGGCCCGGGGGACCCCCGCTGCGCTCCCCCGAAGCGTTGGGGCGTTCGGTAGAGGAGGTGTGAATCTGGACGGAGGCGCGTGGATTAGCGACGGTCCCGTTTCCGTTCCGAATCGGCGTGCCCCGTCGCCAAGTGATGCGGCATTGTCGGGTTGACCCAAAACTGTGTCCGGCGACAAGGGAGTGGTACAATAGATTTGGTGCAATAGATTTGCGGGGTTGCAATACATTTGGGGCGTATAATACATATTGGGGCGCAAACGTATCGCTGAATTTTGGCGTGCAATATATTGCTTGTAATACAATGCCATCAATTCTCCGGCGCAATACATTTGCAATACAGTTGCCCAAAATCTAATGCACCACCCTTTTCAGCTGGATCCCCTTGTGGGTCACCCAGACACTGGCCTCATGCTTCCGGGGGTGCCTTCCCCTATCCGCGGAATTGGCGCCCGCGCGAAATCCACGTGTCCCTGTTCCACGTTTGCGTGCGCTCGACTCGTGGGGAGTACGCGCTGCGAGCGCGACGGGCCAGACACGCTCCCAGGCGCCTGGCCCCTTGGCCGCCCGCCATGGCCGCCTGCCCTGAACTGGGTCGGGGTCGTCCAGCAGGGGTGTGAGAACCAGGGCCGTGGATATCGCGGCCGGGGCCATGACCCCCCTCCATATTTCGTGGCCCTTGTTTTCTGTATTCGTGTTCGTCCTCTTCCTCTTTTTATGCTTTTTCTCTCCCGTATTCTTCTTCATTATCCTTCTCTTCTTCTTGTTCTTGTTCCTTTTCTTCTTCTTTCAATGCGTACCCGGGCGGAAACCAGAACTCCAAGACAACGCCGAGCGCCCATGAGGCGCTGGTTCCCAGCCCAGTCGTACTACCAGAGGAGAGCCCCTTATTGCAAACACTCTTTCGGGAATCGTGGGGTTCTAGACGAATTTTGGTTTGCAGGGGGTGTTCTTCAAAGCTTCGGATGCCGGTTGGAGCTGTCTCGTGGCCGTCGTGGGGCCTTTTTGCATGCGTGCAGGCCGGATGCCATGACGAGCCACTTTGGGCAATCTTGTACGACTTTGGAGGCTATCCTAAGACATCGTGGGCCGCAGTGGAGCCATCATTCCCCCAAGTCCTCCCCACATATGCCTTCGGAAAACCTAGGTCGTTCAAGCATCTTCACGTTGTCATATGTTTCGTTATGGAGAACGCCGCGGCGTCAATCAGCCTACCCCCGTCGGAACCAGTCCGAAGCAGCGCCTAGTTGGATGCTCTCATTAGGGGCGCTCTTGATCGCACTTGGCGGCGCCCGCCAACTTGACCGCGCAGTGTTTCAGTCCGAAACGCCGTTGCCCAGCTTCGTATTGTCGCATCCTCCTACTGCTCCTCCCTTCTCCCTCTTCTCTTCCTCCTCCTCCCTCCTTCCTCATTCCTCCCTCTTCTCTCTTTCCTCCTTCCTTCTCCCTTCTCGTTCCACCTCCCCATGCTGGCCCATGCCGATGGTTTTCTGCAACCCGTGGGGTGGCTTTGGGCGCTAGGAAGGGTGTGCGCATGGCGCATGCCCGACGAATGTCTGCACAATCACCCCATGGGGTGTAAAGGCGGGGGCGACACCGGCACACGAGGTACTGACTTGAAGGACAGCCTGGCGGCAAGGGCGGCAAGATTGGATATCCTGCGCATTTCGAGGCCTTCGCCTCTGTGTTCTCACCTCGAGGTCTCCACGTCGAAGCGTTCACATTGACAATTGAGGCCTTTCACCTTGAGGTCGTCCACCTCGGCGTCTTCACCTTGAGGTTTTTTATTTCGAGGTCTTTACCTGGACGTATTCGCCGCAAGTCCTTCACATTGAGGTCATCACGTCGAAGTCTCCATTTCGAACACCTCGAGGTCTCACCTCGATGTCTCGACACAGCCCCAGCGTACCCGTGTCGCGAGGCAGTTGCCGCAAGGACAACCCGGCAGCAAGGTTGGTGGTCCTGCACATTCCCACGTGTCCCCTATTACCACGTGCCGCTCCCTTTTTGGACGCTGCGCGACAGCAGTGCCTCTTTTTCGTGCGTCTGCAGATTCTGTACGCCTTCCCCTGTCGCGAGCCAGTTGCCCGAAGGACACAAGCCATGCTCGCAAGGCCGGCGATCCCGCACGCTGTCGCGTCTCGAAGCTTGCCGCGGTTCGCTTCTTCTCGGATGATGACATGGCGACGGACGCTGGGGTACGTCGAGCTCCTAGCGGAGTGAACAGCGGGGCGCAAGGGCCCTCGTGGCGGTTTTGCGCGAATTCACAGTCGGATATACGTGAGGGTAGCTTCTCGCTGGAATAACCTTTGGTGCGGGCGCACTCCGGAATGACTTTGCGCCGGGGTGACCTTTCGCCAGAGAGATTCTCAGAACATAGCCCTGAGACATGGATGGCAGCCCTGCTTACATTCAGCACGTGCAATCACACGCCCTGACCTCCAGGACGCAGCCTGGCGGCAACGCCAGCGGTGTTGTTTCCATTCGGCACGTCGGAGGTAGTGACCTCCAGGACGCAGCCCAGCGGCAATGCAAGCGGTCCTGCGCACCTTCCCTTCTTTGCGAGGCATGTGCCTCGAGGACAGCCTGGTGACAATGCCAGCGATGTTGGTTACATTCCGCACGTCGGAAGCTCTGACCCCTAGGACACAGCCCGAAGCCATGCAGGCGGTCGGGCACACTTTTCTCAAGGCGTGAGATCGAGACCCTTTCAAGTGCCTTCCTCTCTCCGCTCCGTCCTCGTTTCCCCCCCTCTCCTCCTTCACCGTCGTCGTCCCTCGCTTTTGCACCCCCGCAGTCTTCTCTTTCCCATCGGAAGCCGCTGGCCGAAAACTGGTTGTCGGTCGGCCTTTTGGTCGGTGAGTCCCCAGTCGTTTCCTAAGTGGCCACGCTCGCCCTATTCATGCGTGGGGACAGGAGTTGTGGAAGAAATCTCGTCTCACATGCAACCGAAGTGCAGGTAATTACAGAGACTCTGCAATTCCCGTGTCGACATCACAGCTCGGCGGCAATGCCGCCGGTCTTCTTGGCATCCGACACGTCGGAGGCAAAACTTGCGGTCCTGCGCACCTTCATTTCTTTGCGAGGCATGTGCCTCGAGGACAGCCTGGCGACAATGCCGGCGATGTTGGTTACATTCCGCACGTCGGAAGCTCTGACCCCTAGGACACAGCCCCGAAGCCATGCAGGCGGTCGGGCACACTTTTCTCAAGGCGTGAGATCGAGACCCTTTCAAGTGCCTTCCTCTTTCCGCTCCGTCCTCGTTTCCCCCCCTCTCCTCCTTCACCGTCGTCGTCCCTCGCTTTTGCACCCCCGCAGTCTTCTCTTTCCCATCGGAAGCCGCTGGCCGTAAACTGATTGTCGGTCAGCCTTTTGGTCGGTGAATCTCCAGTCGTTTCCTAAGTGGCCACGATCACCCTCCTTCATGCGTGGGGACAAGAGTTGTGGAAGAAACCTCAACCGCAGTGCAGGTGCAGAGACCCTGTAATTCCCTTGTCGACATCACAGCTCGGCGGCAATGCCGCCGGTCTTCTTGGCATTCGACACGTCGGAGGTACTGACCTCCAGGACACAGCCCAGCGGCAATACTTGCGGTCCTGCGCACCTTCCCTTCTTTGCGAGGCATGTGCCTCGAGGACAGCCTGGCGACAATGCCAGCGATGTTGGTTACATTCCGCACGTCGGAAGCTCTGACCTCACGCAGGCGGTCTGGCACACCTCCCTCAATGCATGATATCGAGGCGTTTTCAAGGGCCTCTCCTGTATCCGCTCCGTCCTCGTTTCCCCCCCTCTCCTCCTTCACCGTCGTCGTCCCTCGCCTTCGCACCCCCGCAGCCTCCTATCTCCCATCGGAGGCCGTTGGTCGAACATTGACTGGCCATAAGCTTTTTGGTCGGTGAGTGCCCAGTTGTTTCTTGAGTGGCCACGCTCACCCGCCTCGTGCGTGGGGACAGGAGTTGTGGACGGAATCTCGTCTCAAATACAGCCACAGTGCAGGTGCAGAGACCCTCTAATTCCCGTGTCGATAGCACCGTTCGGCGGCAATGCCGCCGGTCCTTTGACACTCGACACGTCGGAGGGCCCTCCAGGACAGCCTGGGCGGCAGTGCCGGTTGCACTACCCACTGGGCATGTGCCTCTAGGACAAGGCTTGGCGGCAATGCTGGCGGTCCAGCACACCTTCCTCAGCTACGCGGCGTGAGATCGA